CCCCGTGGAGACATACCTTTAAATGATTTTCATCCCTGTTTACAGAGGAGTCAGTGCAAGACTTATGAGCTATTTAACTCCCACATAAATCCATTTTTCTTTAAGGCCAGGATGTGCGTAGAAACCTAAGGAGTTGAAAATCCCAGTCCCAGTTATTTGTGAATTCTGAGGACCCTGATGCTTTGGAAAACTTACAGGCAAAATGTACAAACTTGGGTGCTTAAAGTTAAGCACTTACAGGAAGGTTTTCAAAAGCACAATAATAGTTAAATGCAGCTTGAGAAAATCTTCCCTCAAAATCCTTATGCCGACATGTAAGGCTCAGACCTTGCCTACACTATATATTCTTTGCCAGGTTAGCTATTCCAGCAGAGCCGCCTAGGTTAGATGTAGCTTATGCTGACAGAAAGAGTTTTTTCTGTCAGTATGGTAACTCCACCTCCCCAAATGGCGTTAGTTGTGTCAACAGAAGCACTCTTGTGTTGTCCTAGCTATGTTTACACTGCGGGTTTTGCCAGCATACTTACTTTGCCTGGGGTGTGTGGTTTTTCATACCCCTGACAAACACAGCTAGGCCGACAAACCCTGGTAGTGTAGAACTGGCTCTCAGATTTTCAGATGCACTCAGAGTTGGCATCACTCTGCTCCCATTGACTGCAGTGGGTGCAGTTCAACCAAGATGGAGTGCTTTTGAAAATCCCACCTTAAAAGGGTGCAATTTTCAGAGGTACAATGTACATAATGTTAGGAACTGGTGGGTGCAGAGCCATCAGAACACTTATTTAGGTGCCTGAATATAGATTCAGTTACCTAATTTTAGTCACCAAGGTTTGAAAGTTTTGTCCTTTGTGCCTAAAATTGTGCAGCTGCCACATAAGTGAGTGGAAATGATGTTCCATGCTTGTTCCTAGGTTACAGTTCTGGAAGCCAGTGGTCGTGTGGGAGGACGAGTCAGGACCTATCGAGATGAGACACAAGATTGGTATGTGGAGTTGGGAGCCATGCGTTTGCCAAGCACCCACAGGTAATACAGTTTCTACTCCTCAGCCATGTAAGTTGTTTGGTAAAGGAACAACCCAGTTTTGCAGAATTCTGCTATGGTTAGGGATAAGATCAAACATCCTAAAAGAACTTGCTGCTAGATATAATATTTCCTGCCGTAATTAGTCTCAATGACCTGGGTAGGATTATGGCCAATAGTAAACAATGAACTGAGCAATAAGTGTTTTCAGGATTAGGGCCTCATTATGGAACTGGCGGCTTGTGAGTGCATGGTCGAACTTCCATGAAACCAATGGAATAATTCCAGTTTACGTTAATGGAAGTTGTATCAGGCCCTGAGTCAAAAGAAAGCCAGACAATAGATATGGGCTCTTCATTAGCCAAAGTGATTTGAAATGAATTGCATTGTTTCATAAAACACTGCACCCAATTGTTTTGTGAGGAAGTATAAGAACAAGAATAGAATAGAATAGCATAGAATAGAATCTTTTTCAGCACAATTATATGGAACAAAAGCTTATTAAAACAAACAAACAAACAAACAAACAAACAAACACAAAAAGCTGTATCATAAATATACCCTAACTACAAAGGAAACTACCATGAACTGAGACTACAATTTAGAAGCAGAACAACTAGATGAGATTATTATAGTCAACATCTTTGGTTACCAGTCAATATGCCAAGCCCTCAGCTACTATATAGCTGGTAGCCCCCTTGTAGTCAATGGAACTACATCAGTTTACATCAGGATCAGGATCTAGATCTATCTATCATATTCCTACAGCATTAATAACATTAGTTGGAATCAGGAAAGTTCAATAAGGGAATGACATAAATAACATACTTACAATTGTATTATTTGTATACCCAGTAGAGAGTATAATTTATTTTCTTATTTTTGACTCTTTTCCCCCTTTCTCCCCCCTTTCTTTCTTTTGCAGTATTGTTCGTCAATTTATTAGGCAATTCTCCCTTACGCTAAACAAGTTTTCTGAGACGGATGACAACGCCTGGTATTTGGTTAATGGTGTCAGGACAACAGCTGGGAATGTCAAAAAGAACCCAGATATCTTGAGTTATACTCTGGCTCCCTCAGAGAAAGGCAAATCTGCTAAGGAACTTTATAAAGAAATTCTGCAGAAGGTATGTTTATTGGTCGATTGTATAAAGGAAAGTAAATTACCAGGCCTGATTCTGAAAAATGGCCCTAACTTCTACTGCAGCACAGGGGGGTCTCTTCTTCTGTAGTATGTGCTGGTCTCCTCGTCTCTTTTCCCAACACATTCCTTCTCAACACTATTCCAATCCAGAATACATCCGGTGTTAGGAGAATCTGAGCTAGAATTCCCCTTGTTGTTGTATGAAGGGGATTTACCAGGGCAGATTATCTGGCCCTGGTTCTCTTTTCACTTTCACCCATGTGAATCAGGAGTAACGACATGTGATCTCTCTCCCCTCCCCCCTCCCCCCCCCGGACCTGTGGGTGCTTGCCACTTCTGAAAAGAAACACTTGTTTTTGATTCCTACACAGTGAACTTGGGATCAAATCCTGCCATTTAACTACAGCAGGGCTGGAGACTATGCCATGCAACTCAGTTCCATTCACTGGGGTCTCATGGATACACACAGGAATTAGGGTCTAGTAGATAGGGGATTGCATTAGGACTTTGGGATCAGTTGCTGCTATAGCTATGTGCTCTGTGAAATGGAGCTGATTCTTCCCTACCTTAAAAGAATATTTTGGGACTAAAATCCATCAGTGATTATGAAGTCTGCAGATATCATGCAAGTATCTGCCTAGATAGATAGGAGAACAGAATTTGGTCCAGTGTTTTTGTGAACATATTTCTCTTTCTGTCTATGAATGTTTCCATGCATGGCTCCAACACAGGCCAGAGAGAAGTTCCAGAGCACAGATTGCGAAAAGTTGCTGGATCGGTATGACAGCTTTTCCACCAAGGTAATGGATATGGGCCTTCAAGTACCTTTAAATCCAAATATTTAGGGAAAGTCTGAAATTATTGCTCTGAGCAGGGCCGACTCCAGGCACCAGCCAACCAAGCACGTGCTTGGGGCAGCATCTTGTAAGGGGCGGCCAATCTTGGTTTGGCAGGGCAGCGCTTCGTTTTTTTTTTTTGGTCGGTGGGGTGGCGCTCATTTGTTGTTGTTGTTGTTGTTTTGTTTCAGCGGGGGGTGGCGCTCCGGGGGGGATTGATTTTCTTTTTGGTTCAGCGGGGTGGCACTCGGGGGGGGGGGAGGGGCTGTTGTTTTTGTTTCGGCAGGGTGGCGCCGGGTTGTTGTTTTTTTTGGTTCGGTGTGGCGGCGCTCGCGTGGGGTTGTTTTTGGTTTGGCGGGGCAGTGTTTTTTTTTTACTTGGGCGCCAAAAAAGTTAGAGCCGTCCCTGGCTCTGAGAGTGGTGTAAAATGCACCTGTTTATCCCAATTAAACCTAATTATACCAGTTTTCATGTCGAGGTTGTCCTTTATTCAAAGCACCAATAAAGGAATGAGGGAAAACAGCATATTATGAAGCTCTGCACAGTCTATTAGGATTAGCTTCTCCTTTTGGCAGCCTCAGTGGGCAGGGTTTTGTTTGTGCCAAGATTATGGAAAATAAAGGACTAAGTGCCAGAAATTTCATATTTCCTTCAATTATTATTTTAATATTGTTATGCTGGAAGGTGTTAATGGTGGCGATCAAACATATCTTTAGTCTATAGGTTAGCCACAGACCTGGTTAAAGTCGATGGGCATGCTAAACACATTTCATTCAGGTAAAATGGAAGAAGCAATTAAGCTCCTTTCTGGAGTTAGATAGTTGGAGGCAGTGGAAGCCACTGCGCAAGGCACTATCAGGCTGCATGGGTAGGCCAATCATAAGCTAAGCTGTGGGGGTTGATGGTTTCCCTAGGATTGATTGCAGAGGTTAGGTGGTTGATTGTTTGCAGTTGAGTCTGTGTGTGAGAAGGGGAGAAAGCCAGGAGAAAAAGAGAGTAGCAGTGGTTAACATGGCTGTTTGAGACAACAAAAGATAGAGCTTCTTTGGGTCACAGTATTTGCTGGAAATGCAGACTTCGATTGCTGAGCAGGGACATTGCCTCCTGTTGACTGTTTCTACTGTGTTCAGGGAAACAGGACTTTGTATCTATTCTTTTTAAATAGACAGGATTGCAGCAAAGAAAGACCTGACTCACATCATCAATCTCTCCTTCAAACAGAAAGAACCAAGCAAGGCCTTGGATATTGGCAATGGCTGAGACCAAAAAGGGGCAACAATATCATCACCATATAAAACTTGAAAATAACCTTTTATCTTCTCCTTCTTCATGATAGTCAAATCTTTCCCCAATGATACCTCCATAAATGTGCCTCTTGTGCCTAAAGAGAGAACAACTTTACTCCCTTTCCTCCACTCCCAGGAGTACTTGATTAAAGAAGGGAAATTAAGCCATGGGGCTGTACAGATGATTGGAGACTTGATGAATGAGGGTGCTGGATTCCACAGGTCATTTCTTAACTCTCTCATGGAGTTTAATATCTTCTTTCATGAAGACGGGTGAGAAACGAATGTACTTAAATTGCAAGGTTTTTGCGGTGTCTACATAGCCAGTGGGCTGCCCATGGCAGTGAGTCTTCTAGGAGAGGGTGAGAGACTTAGGCTAGTGGGGATTTTACTAACACTGTACAAATAGCTGTGTAGACAGCACTCTGAAGTTGCAGCTTGGGCTGGAGCTCAGGCTCTGTAGCCTTGGGAGATGGGTGGGCTTGAGAGCCCAAGTTCCAGCCCAAGCGGCAACTTGAAAGCACTGTCTACACAGCTATTTCTATAGCGCTACTGAGAGCCCCACTAACCTGAGTCTCTTGACCCAGGCTGGGAGTCTTGCTGCACCGGCAGTGTAGATGTACCCTTTGTGTGACTGCAATGTGAGTAAATAACTAAATAAATAATATCCTTCTTCTTGTAGTTGATAGAGGCAGACACTCCAGATTACCAATGGGAAACACCCCTTGCGGCAGTTAGAATGTGCGGAGAGAAGCACTCTCTGTCATCAAATGGGTCATATTGTCAGCAATATAGTCCTTGATTCCTTAATCTGGGCCATAATTTGGACTCACCCTGTGCAGCACAATCTGAATTCCCCAGCATTGGCTGAAATTCCCCTCCGGGCCCCAGGTCTGTGTGTCACTTAAGCCTCAGTTCCCCCTTCTGTAAAATGACAATAATAAACTTTTTTTTTAATCTGTCTTGTCTAGCTGGAGCATAAACTCTTTGAGGCAGGATCTGTCTCAGACACAGACCCTATCTAAAAGGGGCACCACTTTGTTGTTGTACCTAAAAGCAATTGTAGTTCTGCTACTAATGTAATTCTTTCACCCATCACTTTCTTTCAGTTTTGATGAGATCACAGGGGGATTTGACCAATTGCCCCTGGCCTTCTACCGGTCTATGCCTGGAGTTGTCCAGCTGAACTGCACAGTAGAGCAGATAAAATACATTGGTAACAAGGTCCAAGTATTGTACCATAGTGCACACGACACATGTAGCCCCTCTTTCGTGACGGCTGACTATATCCTTGTCACAGCCACAGCAAAAGCCACGAGACTCATCAAATTTCT